CAGATAACCCATGAGGTTATTTTCCCTTTCCCGAAACATTTGTTTACGTTTTTATGATTGCATACTAATTTATATATAAACAGCGTAATATTTATTGTGATGTATTTGGCATGAGTACGAATCACTGAAAACGAGCTTGTTCGCCACGCCTGGTTCTATTTGACACATACCAGATTGTTTGACGTGGTAGTGACTGAGGAGATTGAAGGAAACGTTCAAATCTCGCAGAATTTGTTTTTTTTCTGTATTCTAACGAACTGGTTCAAGCCGCAACGTCGACGAAAGAACCGTAATAGCACGAATGTAAGGGACGTGCTAACAATAGGAGAGAAAACGTTTTTTTCTGTTCATGGTCTAAAATTAACGAAGAAATAGAAGGGATAATGTCATAAACATGACTATGATATTTCAGTATGGTTTGTATCTCGGTTACACTATTCAACACGCTTGGCCTCCGAAAGTCTCAGTGTAGTCGAGGATGGGTACCTTGGGTTGTTCATGATCACCTTTCCTTTGCAACTCACGAAACGCTCCTATACGACCAAGCTTCTCACGAACGGACTCTGTTGAGAAAGTCCTACTCACAGCTTTCCCGTGGTGGTGTTTTTCTATTTAAATGAAGAGACGCAAAGTCGAAGTTCGGGGTTATAACCGGGTCGGTAAGATTATGATGGTTCTTATGGCTAAAACCCCGATCCCAACTCACTATAAGGAGGCGTGCAAACTTCCAGGTTGTGACAGTGGTCACTGGCTCGATTGAACATCTTGGACGTTTGAACCCGTCCGAAGGGCGTATGATCCGATGAGCTGAACAACGCCTCCCAATGCAATGCGGTTTTCGCACACCACCCGGCTGCCTTGCTGGTTAGGCATTATTTAGCTAGCCAAAGGCTCTGGTTGTGGACTCCTCAAGAAAATTCACCTGCCTTGGCCTGGGCTACCTGGCAGTATTCCGCCCACATGCAAATTATGAAATACTTTTCTTTTTTATAAATATCACTGAAACATACTTGGTTGGCACAGAGTTTGTCGTCAAACGTCTGTGGAACTATATTATACATATACTGATCCTGTGGGAGATATAAAACTAGTCACACGATGATCATTTTGGGTGTTATTGTTTACGTCTTTTCGGGATTACT